ATATATATATATATATATATATATATATATACACACACATATATATACATATGTATACATACACACACACACATATATATAAGTCAGTGTTTTTTGTCTGTACAATGACAGCCAAAGCTCATCAAAACTGTCCGGTTACCAACATTCTTCAAAATATCATCTTATGTTTTTTTTTTGCAGGGAAAAAAGTCATAAAGGTTTGGAACTACCTTTGAGTAAATGACAGCATTTTCAGTATTGGTTTAACTACGCAAGTAAATGAATAATTTGCTACAGAATAGCAAATACAAAACAACTGTTAGAGAAAATACACTTTCATGTAGTAATTGGAGATTATAATCAAAATCTTATTACTAAGATATAGGCCTTTTAACAAGTCACAGACCCCTACTGAATTTCAGTTGCTTCTGTTAAGGGGGGGACTCAAAAATAGCACATCCACATGATGTATGTAATGTACACTCCACAAAGTTCGTTGAATTTTTCTTTAATTATTTATATAATCAGACAGGTGCAGTGTAATGTCATCTCACCTCCAGAATGAGCGGATGGGCCACAGCATCTGGTTTGATGACCGCAAGGGTGAGCTGCAATGCCTTCACACACCGCATGCCTTTACTGTACTGCTTATAGTTCCACTAAAAGCATCAATGGCCTTATGTTTCCCAGTGATTTGTCTCTATCGACACGATAACCAGCAGCTCTAAATACACATGAATGCTCGTGAACATTTCACAGCTCTTTCAGATTCCAATGCGCTGTGCAACATGATAAATTCATCGATACAATGTAGGCGATCGACCGAAAAAAAACTTTCGTTTGTTCAGTTGGTGTTTAAATTTGTTTTCAGATTGAATTCTCAAGAAAAATAAGGCTTGTTTTCTAAACTCAGCGTGCTCCGCGCTGTCGTTACGTGGGCGCCGCCATCTTGCCCGGTAGTAAACATAGGAAGTTACACAGCCCGCAGCTCTCATCAAAATCCTACTATTTCGACCAACCCTTGCTGATATACAACTGCTTTGTTGACAATAAATCTACAAATAGCCAACACAATAGCTGATATTCGTTTTTAACGAAACATACTGTACCTCGAATAAAAAGCTTGTAATCTATGCTTGTTTAAAACACATTTTAACAGGGGATTTATCATTGCGCACTCCCATGCTTTTCTTTGTTTTAGTGATAAAACATAGGCTATTATGTTTTCAAATATATAATGTGTACAACAACCCATTTTCTAGCAATGCTGTGGAAAACTTTCAATGAAATACAGAAAATAATTCAAAGTTACAGATATTGTCCAATGTGACACCTTGCCTATTGCATAAGAATAACCTCTAAGAATAACAAAGATATTTAATAAGGTTTCTTCTACCTTAAGCTGACATTTAGAGAAACAGTGACCTGTGACCATCTGTAGTAGCTAAAGTCATGTGACAATACAACTGTAAAACAGACCTTGTTTAGATTGTTTAAAAGATTATCTTAAAGAATATTTTTTGTTGATGATGCTTAATGAAAATATAAATAATTCTAGTCTGTATAATGCATGTTTACTTTTACATGTGAGTCTGTCTTTATGTGCATGTGAAGGATCAAACGTGATAATTGTTTTAGACAGCTGTGAAACCCAGAATGATGATGCAGTAACAAAAAAGTAGACCATTTGATGATTATTGTGAATTATTTTCTTAACACTGATCTGACTATACTACAATCACATTACTTTTTAATGTCGCACGTCAGAGCTTCAGGCTGCAGTAAATAGTCTTGAAAGTAGAATCCTTGATTTTCACACACCTATTATTCTTCGTTCATTTGTCAGGCAGTACGATTATGTCAGTTTTGACCAGAGGCAGACAAAGTACTCAGCTCCATTACTTGAGTGAACAGATACTGCTGGTCAAATATTACTTCCTTACAAGTAAAAGTTGTAAAGACAGATTTTTACTCAAGTAAAAGTACAGAAGTACTTGCTTTTAAAAGTACTTAAGTACCAAAAGTAAATTTCCTTTCTTATGTCAATGCACTGTTTTATTGTTGTACGTAGTACTTGCAATACTTCTGAAGCAACTTAATACATTACACCTGCTGAATACAGTACAGTGAAATTCTGTAAATACAGAGTGATAAGGAAGATAAAAAATCAAACCTGCTTTAAAACCCAGTAACACACCTGTAGCTGTATAACTTTACAACAGCAACACTGCTTTAACAAAAAAGCAAAACAGCAAGACTTATTTGACATAAAAACAAACATTTTAAAAATGCTGTCTAATCGCTCTCGCTGTACTTTGATGTCACACACAGAACAGTCTGTGCAGTGCTGCTTCAAGTCCAACACCTATAGTGTTTTATTAGGAGATGCACAACAGTTCTTCTGTGGCTTTATAGGTAATATTTTCACGTACACAATTTAGCAAAATCAGACAATATTGTGTGTAATGTATACCACAATATTAACTTCTTATTATTGAATTGTTGCATTTGCAACGGGTCAGTGTTCAAAAAATGCTGGGAATTCACTTCATGTAGCCCTACAAGAGTGATTACTCATAAACTGTCTGAAAAAAAGAAAGTCACGTTTAAGAGAAGAAAAAAATCACTCACTGACTTTCAAAGCTGCCACATACTAACGACTTTCTACTTCGAGGAACTTGATAGAAATGTAGTGGAGTGAAAAGTACAATATTTGTCTTTCAAATGTAGTGAAGTTAAAGTCGTAAGTTCCCAGAAAAAAAGAATACTCAAGTAAAGTACAGATACTCAAAAAGTGTACTTAAGTACAATACTCAATAAATGTACTTAGTTACTGTCCGCCTCTGGTTTTGACCTAGTTACCTAGTTACCCCCCTGACCACCAATGCTAACACGTTCATTCATTGGGAACCCCTGCTTTTCAGTGAGATTGCTGACACCATGACACCAGATCCATATCCTATTTTGACACCCTGCCTGTTTCATGTGGGTCTTTTAAGGAGTGACAGGATGGGGTCAGAGTGCATTTCCTGCCATATGACCATTTGGTCTGCTGTTTAATAAAATCTAGCCTTCATTTACTAAAACTGTACCCTACTTGTGACTGAAAAAATACATGTGAAGGTGCTCAGCAGCTAGTCAGAGAATTTATACTTAACAGCAAATCACAGAAATGCTTCTCACATGAAATGTAAATTGCGAATAAATAACCAATAAAAACATATAATACAAAATTATTTGTCTTTATTCAAAGAGCATCTTTGTGGGGCAGGGAGTAAACTGTGTACCTCTCAGTTGCTAGCACCTGTTTTGACATCTACTGAAATGCAAGTGTCCTTTGACCTTTTCTATTCCCATCCTTCAGAGCGCAGCACCAGACTCTCACAGACAGCTGTGTCAACCTCAGCAGGAGCAACTGTCATACCTAAGGAAGGACATCACTTTTAAAGCTGAAGAATTATAGTGTGCCTTAACCAGCTCTTTAAATGTGTGTTGATGACTTTCACATTACACAATAAATGGCATGTCTATCATACACACTGACACACACACATTTGTAATGGTGTAATGGTTTTTATACTGTACAAATTATATTTTCTATCCCCTTATCCTAAACCTACCACTCACAGGAAACTTTCTGAATTTTTAGATTTTCAAAACACTTTGAAAATTGTGTTTTGAACACAACTTGTTTCCTCATGGGGACCTAAAAATGTCCCCACAAGGTCAAAATTTTCTGGTATTACTATCCATGTGGGGACATTTGGTCCCCATAACATACTAGTGAATACCAGTACACACACACATACTCACGCATTCACAAAACTGCATTTCTGTCATCATTTACCCATTCCAAAAATTTATGAATTAATTTCTTCTTCATTACAAGAAATTCGGTGGAAGAAGATATTTTGATGAATATTTGAAGTGTTTTGTCCATACAATGAAAGTCATTGTGACCCCATTGACTTTCAGTGTGTACTCGGGGGAGAAAAAAAACATAGAGATATAAAGAGAGATATTTTCATAATGTTTTCTTTTATGTTCGACAGAAGAAAGACAGTCATGCACATTGGGGCAACATGAGGGTGAGTAAAAGTTCATAGAATATTCATTTTTGAATGAACTATCTTTATAAGTATGCAAATTTGATCGTCTTCCTTTGAATGAAACTGCATTTATATTTTCCCAGTTGCTCTAAAATATCCCTGTGTCTCTTTTAAACATCATATTTGTCATTAATCTAAAACATGACTTTACTTTTTAAACAGATAATATTCCAGTTCTTTAAGAAACCCAGTCATTTATGAATTATGACAATCTGCAAAACAGAACACAAGGACCCACATTACATTTATTCATATGGCAGATGATTTTATCCAAAGCAACTTACATTGCATTCAAGGTATTACATTTTTGATCAGTTCTTGCTTTCCCTGGGAACTGAACCAATGTCCTTGCTGTTGCTTGCGCCATGCTTTATTGTTTGAGCATTGACCTTGGCTTTTGCATATTAAGTGTCTTTTATTACTAGATTTAGATTAATGATTTGATACCATGCATTTCTTCTGTAAATATATGTTTTGACATTGTACATATATTTAAAAAAAAATATCCTCATCTAATTACGTCTATAATTACACTGTTGACCTTTTTTCTACTCCTTAACCCATTCTTAAACCTTCATACCACCAGTCCTGTTCATAACCTTATCCCACCTCAATAACAGCAAAAGTGTTTTACTTTTTTTTTTTACTGCAATGCAACATAAAAACAGTATTGTAACAATTAGTTAAGTGCACATGTGTTTAAAACACCTAATATGAATTGGGACTATCTAGAGCCCTAAGAAATCTGTGCTTAAATCATTAACAAGCTCCATTCAACACAACAACCACAATATCATTGTTTCTGTGCTATGGAGTAGAAATGTAAAAAAAAAAAAAAGATTATAGCTAGCTACTTCAAGTCCTGTGCTGTGCATCTGTGTCCTGGGAATCAGCTGTTTGAATTGCACTGCCTGAAAAATTATATGCCAGCCTCCGGAAAAAGAGAGAGCTATATGACCTCTTAGAATAAACTGGGATGCTGCTGGCCAAATGCTAGTGACAGAGAGGAACAAAGTTATTAGCACCGTGGGGCCCAGCTTGACTGCCAGTGTTAAAAATAAACAGAGCGGTCAGATTTGGAGCTTACGTTCTCCTCAAACACTGAGCATTCTCTCTCTCTCTCTCTCGTTCTCTACTTTGCCAATGACCCCCGTGAACACTTGCTCTGTATTGTTTCCGTAGTGTCAAAAAATGCTGGGAATTCACTTCATGTAGCCCTACAAGAGTGATTACTCATAAACTGTCTGAAAAAAAGAAAGTCACGTTTAAGAGAAGAAAAAAATCACTCACTGACTTTCAAAGCTGCCACATACTAACGACTTTCTACTTCGAGGAACTTGATAGAAATGTAGTGGAGTGAAAAGTACAATATTTGTCTTTCAAATGTAGTGAAGTTAAAGTCGTAAGTTCCCAGAAAAAAATAATACTCAAGTAAAGTACCGATACTCAAAAAGTGTACTTAAGTACAATACTCAATAAATGTACTTAGTTACTGTCCGCCTCTGGTTTTGACCTAGTTACCCCAACTTTACCCTGACCACCAATGCTAACACGTTCATTCATTGGGAACCCCTGCTTTTCAGTGAGATTGCTGACACCAGTTGAACCAATCCATATCCTATTTTGACACCCTGCCTGTTTCATGTGGGTCTTTTAAGGAGTGACAGGATGGGGTCAGAGTGCATTTCCTGCCATATGACCATTTGGTCTGCTGTTTAATAAAATCTAGCCTTCATTTACTAAAACTGTACCCTACTTGTGACTGAAAAAATACATGTGAAGGTGCTCAGCAGCTAGTCAGAGAATTTATACTTAACAGCAAATCACAGAAATGCTTCTCACATGAAATGTAAATTGCGAATAAATAACCAATAAAAACATATAATACAAA